GTTTGCTCGGATGACCAACTCACCTACGAGAGGCTGGAGGCCTTTTACCTCGTGGTCGAGTTGGTGAGATGTTACGTCTCAGGCTCGTCCGGAAGACGTCGTTGAACGATCTCTGGCATGTTGTGCACCGTTTCTGAGAGGACTGATGACGAGGTGGATGAGGAGCGGACGTAGGTCTCGTCTTAAATTGGGGCGATGGTTTGGCCTTTGAAGCTCAGCACACCAACCCGTCTATGTATGCATGTAAACATGTAATCATCTTGATAATATGATGAAGCATACCTCATAAGACTCTTATGTTATCTCCAATGTAACACAGTGAATCATATGATTGTATCTGCTGATACGAACATGACAGATGCTTAACCGCCATGCTCGAAATCCTCATCTCATAAGTCCAATACGGATCTATGGGTACATGGGATATATCGCAAAGGGAGGCATGGGATGACAGTCGGCAAAAAGCTGGAACTTGACGGGGTATGAATATGCCCGTGACTGCGCCGTTATGTATCTAATGCCCATATCCAGGGGCTGGTCTATCGCGGAAGCCTAAAGTGACCAGGTATTCTGCCCTTGACCATGGTGGCTAGGATGGGCCACGTGGTTCCAGTCTAGGATCAAATGCTGTCATCTAGGCTGCTACTCGGGAAGTTCGAAGCTAAAGCTTCAGGTTTGCAGTCTCGGTTCGGCCGGCGACAGCATTCCTATCCAGAACCGCAAGCAAAGGAGACATCATAGAGATTGGGAACGTGAGCCGAGCACATCCGCTTACGTCGCAATGCCTGGGCGGTCCTCCGCATTACCTCTGCCTCGTTTGCGATCCCAGCGAACTAATCGCTTCCTTGATCCGTATGGCCCGTCTTTGAGAGCTGTTGCTCATCCACCCTCTCTGAAGAACCTCCCATTGAGTCCAGAGAGCCGTTGATGTCTGAGAGGTTTGTCCTCGTATGTGGCGGGATAAGCACCCCCGTAGGTGCGTCTCCACCAGGAGACCACCACCCAATAGCCATGGTCACTGCACCATTCTCTCAAGGAGTGATGTTGGCTTACGCTCAACGAGCGCGTGGTAACACTCGGGAATTGCGTTCCATAAGCCAATGTGCTTGGGAGATGCCACATCTAAGGTTGTACATCGCGCGGGAGCAGGTCGCGCCAGATGGTCGTTTCCTGGACGGATGTGTTGAGCGATGAACCTACTACTTGGTGAGGGCTGAAGGAAGAAGGTCTTTGACAAGAAATGAGCTACTCTTTTCTGGATGGCAGTACTGGAATGCTGGACGATATGGGCTCTGAGCATGGAATTCTTCCTGAGGACGGGCGACGCGCAACTTCAGCCGGGCTTCCTGGGTCTCATCCTAGCAAAAAGAAATACTATCTTGCATCTGTATGCATCTCTCAATGTATAAGGCATAGACGTAGAGTGTGATATAGTGCGGGAGCAAGAGGAAGTCGAGAAGCTTCACTGAGGACCCGTCGTCAGGTAATGTTAGCTATGTTTCGGTCACTGACCGTGGGGGACGGCGTTGGTTCGCTCCAGGAAGGGAACCTTTTGCAAGTATTACAAGAGAGATTATGTCTTCGTGGATGAGCATGAGTGGGGAAAATTAACATCACTTGGTCGGCGAAGTTACTCATCAGCTCTCACCGGTCTGATGCATTCGATAATTGCAAGTTTAGAGTGATCTGTGTAATACAGCAAACCTCTAGTCAGAAAGCCTGCGACTGGACCGAAAGAAGTAGTAGGGAGGCATGCGCATCTAACAAAGTCAGATGTGGCTGCGAAATTCGTTTCCTCCCTGTGGCAGAGAACCGAACGGGAGGGACTTCATCGGCACAGAAGTTGCTTTCGCCTGCTGAGTATTCGATGCCAGCCTGGAATAGAACGTCTCGGCCCCTTGAAACGTGTCATCCGAGGCCATCGTATGTCGTGGCTGAGAATTTCAGGTGCAAGGTATTCGCGGGATACTAGGTGTGTACCTTTCACCCGGAAAACAGCTTACGATTCAAGATCGTGGTCAAGCTCAAGCCTCGTGTGGGCAGCTCAAACAGTCATAATGAGGCCAGAGGGCTTCAAAGACTTAGTGAGATGTCAGCGGAGGCACTTCAATCAGGTAAAGAATCATTTCACAGCAGCGATTACGGCTCAAAATCATGTCGTCATTTCGGGGCCAAAGCCCTCCCTTTCCTCTGAACGCCATCTATCATGCCCAGGACCTCGCGAAAACCTGTATCGAGGCCAAGCAACAAAGCGAAACTTCTACCAGACTTACGACGCATTCGCGCTCAAGTCATTGAAAATCTTCTTCTTGACCTCCATCGCAACAAGACCAGTCCGCTCCTGCATCGCCACCGTGTTGCTGTCCTTCACAAGCTTCTCGAGCAGTCCATCGACCTTTTTGCTAGCCGCGCCGACACCACCCGTGCCCGGAGCGCTCCGTCCCTGACGAGCGACTTGTGTCGTAGTCTCCTTGATCTTGGATGCGAGATCAAGCATCTGTTTGTTTCCGTAGTCGCGATTCGTGATGAGCGGGCTTTGGCTCAGGGTCTGTACCCAGTACTTGTGCCATAGCAGCTCCAGCATCTGGGACTCGAGTGTGCTCTTGAAATGGGAGACCTCGAGGCTGTAGTACTTGTTCGCGTGGGCGCCGAACTCTGCCGCCTTCGCCAAAGGAACTTCCTGCCATCCGTCGCTGGTAACGCCACTGCCGCTGGCTCCGCCCTCCTTCTCCTTAATGTAGTTCTCGGGGTACGTCCGGAAGGCACCAATCTCCACCTTGCCTGCGTTGATGGTGCGGTCAGGGTCGATGACGACGGCGAGAAACGGCTCCTGGAATTGTTGCTGCAGCGCCTGGGTGCCGACGTCGATGCCGGACAGCCAGCAACCGTAGCCCGGGTGTGAGTGGTACCATCCGACAACGTTCTCCATTCTGCCCTGCTCGCGGCAGAGGCTGAGGTATTCGACCATGTACTCTTCGGCATCGCCCTGGGCGTTGACGCGCGTCTCGGTTCCCTCTACGGGTAATCGGAAGGCATCTGTGACGATGAAAGTGTCGCCATTGACATAGCCCTGCATCAGACCCATCACTTCGAGGTTGCCGCCGGAGCGGGCGTGCATCACCATCTTGATGAGAGCCACGGCGCTTATGCGGACGTTTTTGAAGTGGTTCGGGTTCGCGGCCCACGGGCGGGCGTTCATCTGTTCCTTTTGGGCATCGAGGTCGAGGTTGTAGAGAGCGTCGCGTTTGGTGTCGACCAACTTTACGTTGTTGTCGAGCTCTATGGCAAGTGGTCAGCTGGATTGGGCGCGGCAATGGCGACAGTGTAAGGGATTTCACGACATACCCCACGACTTGAGAGCTGTCTCCATCTTGACTGCTCGTTTCCGCGTGAGCAGTTGTGTTTGCAGGAGATGACGTTGAGTGACGGCCAAGGTTCACGGGAAGGTTGGAGATGTTGGTGACAATGGAAGCACTTACCCCACCATCCAGCTGCCTCAGCCGTATCTTATCGATAAGATAAAGCTAAGGTAGTGATAGGTACCTACCTTAGGTACCTATCACTCGGGAGGTGGACCCTTGGTGCGTTACATAAGCCTCACCAGCCATTCGCAACATCAATCACGACCTGAGGTGTCAGGGGTACTTGCAGGCTTACCTGAGAACTCCACGACCACCCATCTTGTACATCATCAACACGGCGAACGTCAATCAGGCATTCGATCACATCAAGCTCAAGAAGCACGATATCCACGTATAATGAAGGAGAATCGATGAAAAAGATGTTAGTCAACATGCTAGCTTCGGCATCGACAAGCTGGCATTGGCCCAACCGGACTTTGCGGTCGTAAACGTAACAGACAAGATGACGGAAGTTCGCTTTGACCCTTGGAAATTCGAGCAAAGTCAAAAAAGGAATCAGCGTGTGGTCGCGAGACATACCGATTGGAATTGGAGATGCGAATGGTCGGCTATGCTCAGGCCTCCCGTCTCGTCTGCTATTTCCATGTGGCTACATACTGGAATTGCGATGAAGTTGAGAATTGCCAAGTGGAACTAGTTCGGGAGATGGCCGTAGCATGATCCACGGTTCAATCGATGGTTCAAATCAGCGGGAGATGGGCAAAAGAACACGGGGTTTCTTGCGGAAAGGACCGAAAGCGATCTCGACAAGTTGTTGCGACCCAAGACTCGCAGTTCCTGGCAATGATCCGTTCCGAAACGAATCACTGGGCGCCCCTGGTAGATCACGTTCGAACAACAACTCTTGGCGAGGTGGAAATCCGTGAGCCTCCAAGTCACTGGGTCAAGTGGCTCCAACAAACGACACACGTCATGGCATTTTCGGATATCGCCAGTCCCGGGTCACTTATTCGCGTACTTCCACCATGGATGTCCGTCAACTGGTCTTTGGGATCTTGATCGGGGTCTCCGCTGCTTTCGCATCCCCCATACGGACGTTACGAGCGCGATAGCGAGGGGTGTCCCAGCCACCCCGCCTCCGCAATGGGCGGCCGGTCCGGCTCCGAGATGTTTCGACATCATCCCAACGTCAGGAATGACTTTGAGGCGAAACACTAATTTCGTCGCAACACGTTGCGGTTCATGCAAGCAGCAAAGGAGAAGAAAGAATCAGACCGAAGTCTGCCGGCCTTGCGACGGCAGTAGAGTTTCACGGTCAACGACGCACGACCAAGGACATGTTTGGGCCAAGAGGAATATGCACTCTGGTACTGTCATTATTACTGTTAAAAATATATGGAAAAATGAGAAGCTGATTTTCTAGTCTACACAACACGACATTGGCCAAGTTTGTTTGCGAACGCGAACCAGTCAGCCGAATCCGAACTTGATGTAATTTGCTGTGAATTTCGGACTCTAGATACAAGGAAGAACTGGCGGTCGTCTCAACTCAAGGGTTGCCCGGGTCAGAGCATTAAGTTGTTGGCCCCCATGTCTGCCACAAAGTTGGACAACCCCCCCTTAAGCGGTGAAAGCGCGAGCCTCAACGGCGGCGTACTCGTCGCGCTTCGCGGCCTTGGCCTTCTTGGTCTTCTTGCCGCGGTGATGGGGCTCACGAGCCTCAACGGCGTGCTCGGCAGCGTCCTCGGAAGCGAACTCGTCGCGCTTGGCAGCCTTCGCCTTCTTAGTCTTCTTGCCGCGGTGGTGGGGCTCGCGGGTCTCGACGGAGTGCTCAGCGGCGTCGTCGGAGGCAGACTCCTCACGCTTAGCAGCCTTCGCCTTCTTGGTCTTCTTTCCACGGTGGTGGGGCTCGCGGGCCTCAATCTCGTGCTCGGCGGACTCGATGGCGTCGTCGGAAGCAGACTCATCGCGCTTGGCGGCCTTCGCCTTCTTGGTCTTCTTGCCGCGGTGGTGGGGCTCACGGGCCTCGATCTCGTGCTCAGCAGACTCGACGGCCTCCTCAGAGACGAATTCGTCACGCTTGGCAGCCTTGGCCTTCTTCGTCTTCTTGCCGCGATGGTGGGGCTCGCGGGCTTCAATGTCACGAGCCTCGAGGGCCTCGTCGACGGCGGATTCGTCGCGCTTAGCAGCCTTGGCCTTCTTGGTCTTCTTGCCGCGGTGGTGAGGCTCACGGGATTCAATGTCGCGGGCCTCGAGGGCCTCATCGACGGCGGATTCGTCGCGCTTGGCGGCCTTCGCCTTCTTGGTCTTCTTGCCACGGTGATGGGGCTCACGAGCCTCGATATCACGGGCCTCAAGGGCCTCATCAACAGCAGACTCCTCGCGCTTAGCGGCCTTGGCCTTCTTGGTCTTCTTGCCGCGGTGGTGAGGCTGAGAGGAGGTGTCAGTATATATGTATAATTCTTTGACCTGAGCACATTTGAGAAGATTATTCTTACCTCACGAGCCTCGATGCTGGCAGCCTGGGGCGCAGCCAGGGCAGGCATGGCGAGTGCCAAGGCGGGAGCCTATTTAACCTCACGTTAGTCCTCGCGTTCCCATACTTTAGACTCATCGTAATAGATGAACTTACTACATAGCGTCTGGCGACCTGACCCGTGGGGATGAGGTTCAACGACTGAACACCTTGGACGGCAAGGATGCTCGCCAAGAGGAAGTGGCCAAAGGATGGGTAGTGCATCTTGAAAAGAATGATTGGCTGACCGGCAGCAAATGACAGCAACTGGATTACAAGAGAAAGGAATGAAGGGTCGCGTCAAGCGATCAGGGGCCAACAGTGGAATGAGATGTACGGATGGTCAGGCAATGGTGGGCTGATGAGCGGGTTTGAGAAGATATTATATCTTGCTCAACGACCTCTGCGTTTTCGTCCCTCCACAGCAAGTTGACAAGGCACCCCCCCTTCTGGCACGGCACTTGGTCCATTCGCAAGTCTCCATTCGACTAAGTGACGAAGGCATGGGTTGAAGCCCCAAGTTTGGACGAAAAGGGCCTCGACTAGAAGGCGTCAAACTCTGATCGGCCTGCCGCGTAGGACTAGAAACGTCTCAGAGTCGGGATACCAGATGGAAAGGGTCTGAAAGGGGGTGGAGAGACAGGGCCATGGGCTATGACGGCTTGCGATGGTTGCTCGGACTGAGCTAGCCGCAAAAGATGGGACTCGTTCAAAACTCATCGGGGCTACGCTGATGATGTCGAACAGCACCAAGATGCTGGACGCGGGGAGGTTGGAAGGGGAGGTTCCTGGACTAGGATGTGAGCCGAATCCCGCGCTTGCGGTATCGTCGATGGTTAACGTCCTCCACTTCGCAAGCTCGTATACGGAGTACTCCTCGTACCAAGCAATGAGAAGACAACAAGCATACTACCTTATTCCCTTTAGACATGAACATGGTTGTGGTACTGGACTCGCTTGCAGTTTCAGTTCCAAGAAGTTCCAAGACTACCCTGGGCGGTCAGCAGACGGGGGGCACACAGGGGGAAACCGAGGGTGTTTTCTCGTTGTGCCTGGCGTCTCGTTCGACAGACCCCAACACAATCTGATGCTAAGCCTGATCGACAGGACGTTACGGAAGGTCTTCGCGACGCCGCAGTGTGTCGGGGAAATACGCTGGAAGGGTGGCCCGGTGATGATCCATCGCTCTTCTGCTGTAGGCTGTCGAGAGGATGAGCCGCACAAGGGATCTCTGATACAGCCACAGTCCCAGGATGCCAAGACCTGACAGCAACCGAACCTGGGTCGAGATTAAAAAGGTGTACCGACTCAAAACCGACCACTGTTGGTGTCCTGTGGTGGTGGATATTCCATGAGCAATGCGGCATCAAGTTGCCGGGTTTTGAGCCTCATAGGCGGCCCGGGCTCTTCCCTGGCGCGTTGCGGCGTTCGTGAGTGGTTGGTGCATCCCCTGTGGGATGGGCTGGAGGCGCTGGAACGTGGTGACTGGTCGTGGGATCTCCCCCGCAAGCCACACCCTGTCGCACCAAACTCCGCGTTTCGACACACCCCTGTTCTGAGACACCGCACCAACGCCTCAGCTGTGCCATTACCAGGGCCCCCTTTTTCTTTGCTTCTCTCTCTTTTTGAGTCTCTTCAACTCTTCGACTATGGGAAGAAGGTTCTCAGCTCTCCATCACATTCTCGAGGCAGAAAGCTGCTGCAGGGACGGAGACAAGGATACAAGAGCCAGGACTTGGACCTGACTAAACCTGACATGAGTAGCCCTGCAGATGGTACCAAGACTGCACGAAATCCCGTTCATGGGATTGTTCATCAACAAGGGCCAGCCCAATCATCACCGTGGTCATTGGACGAGAGCGGCTAATTATGTCCGACCATCTATTGTCATCCATCACTGCACGGCACACACAGCACGCAGTATCGCCCATGACCACTTGAACCAAGGCTTGCAACTCGACCGAGTCGACTTGCATTCCCAATCCCACCCCCGGCTGTGACGGACTCGACCTCTTTTCTGTCTCGTCTATTCTTGCTTGGGATGATCGGCTTCTTGGCCTGTGCCGCAACTTCGCAACGAAGATCAAACAGCCCAAACGTTTCTGGTGGCTGGATGACATCTCGCTAGCTGGCAATTTCCATCCGACTATCCAGAGCCTATGCCACTATGGTCCATGGATCCCAATTATCCCAACGGGGCGAGGTTGCATTGCACACACCTGCCAGACGGCGACTTTTCCTCCTCGGTCTTGGGCGAACTGGGTCCCCTTCCAAAGTCGAGTCCTGTCATGTTCAAGTTGGGACATAGTTGCGCGCGCAGTCTCTCGCTGACGCCGCCTCTTGCCCGTGCTCTCTTTCCCGAGTCTCTTCTCCCACCCCCATCAACTAATCGACTTGGACGGTCTGTGATCACCCATTAGTTTGGTAATCTGATTTTCCGCGCCCGAAGCGATCGTCTTGGCACTCGTCTCTTCTTACCTTCTCTGAGAGCTGCTGGCCTTGCCTCAAACTGTTTCCCCTTCCCTTCTCCCCATTCTGTGCATACCACTCTATCATTCTCCCTTCCTGTCTCTTTCTTGTTTAGTCACTTTCAGTTCCCATCATCCGTTTCTAAACTCGACTCGGCGTCGTTGTACCATTTCTTTGCTGTCAAATCCGTGACAGCATCCCTTCTTTGGCCTTCTATTCTTCTTAATAAGGCACCTGGCGTGCTTCAACTTCAACCTTTCGGTGCTACTAACTTGCTTGCCGAAGAGGGTCCCCCTTCTTTAATAATCATGTCTTCAGAAAAGGTCTACCGGTCCGTACCTCACGAGGAGGAGGAAGTCGAGAGTCTCGCCGGGAGCCTCAACACGGAGAGCACGGAAAACGTAGAGGCCGCCACAGCAGGAAACGAGCCGACATGGAGGCGGATGAGGCTCGGCGATGAGCACCCGTGCAAAGAGAAGGCGCGCCGGCTTCTGCGGTATTGGCCTTGGGCTCTTCACGCCGTGCTTTTGACGACATCTGTCACGCTGTTTGCGGCATCATTCTGCCTGCGCTATGGCAACACCAATAAGGACGATACTTGGGTGACGGAGAAGTACTCATCATGGTGTAAGAATCATCGCCCGAATGTCTATCGCTCTTTATCATGGCTGACATTTGGTAGCCCCCGCTGCAGGAATCATCAAGTACCACACCGAAAGGTACAACCTGACGCCCATTATGGACTGGTCGCCGTTTGTCGGTGCTGGATACGAGATCGATAGAGCATGGGATCACATCACAAACAACAGTAAGAAGACGACTCAATGGCTGGTGATATAATGACAGAAGCTAATGAGGAGTAGTCGGCGACCAGATGATCTCGCGCGCCGAGCTCGACAAGCTCGGTCTCGACCCCAAGTCAATCAAGACCACCAACGCCGTCACCGGCGAGGAAGGCTACCGCGTCGGCCTCGAAGTCTTCCACCAGCTTCACTGCCTGAACCTGCTCCGTCAAGCTACGTATCCCGAGTACTATTCAAGGAAAGAAGTCGGCGGTGACGTGGCCGTTGAGCACAAGGACTTGAGAGGACACCTGAGTAAGTCATTACGACTCATCATGCCTCCGTGAGGCGGAATTTGCAGAGAAGAACCGCCATTCGCTAACGGAACTCACTAGACCACTGCATCGAAGCCCTGAGGCTGAACCTGATGTGCGAGGCCGATATTGGCGTCTTTACCTTCAAGATGTACCCGGATCTCCCGCTTGAGGGCCACTGGCCCGACTTCAGCACGCTACACACCTGCCGCAACTTCAACGACATCCGGGACTGGGCGCTGACCCATTCGGTGACGTTTGAGAATGAGGAATAGGCTTTTTCGGCACAACCCCAGTTGGAAGGAATCGAAAACGAGATTTGAGTTGCGGAAAGGTGGTGGGCAAGGCAGGGTAACATAGCAAGGGTACACCTTCATATATAGTAAAAAGCATAACAGCGGCAATGCAGACCGCATACGAATAACATTTTCCCAAGGGACAAATAAAGCCTCAGCAAAGTTTCCTGTCCCAGCGGTACGCCTCAAATCTTGTCGTGGAGGATGCAGAGGGTTCTCGAGCTTGCTGTTGTTTAGAACTAAAGGTTGGAAAGAGTTTGAACGTGCCAGACTTAATCTCTCACTGAGTTGCATTAGCTCCCGCTGTCTGCCGAGAACTGTTGATATTGCAGCTTCCGGCTTCGTCTGCCATCAACCAGCGCCACCTGGCAACAGTTGAACAACCGATCAGCCCTGATGGTCTAGCGGTATGATTCTCCCTTAGGGTCTTCACGACATATCTGGGAGAGGTCCCAGGTTCGAATCCTGGTTAGGGCCCAATTCTTTTGCATTTTGCGGTTATGAACACTGGTAATGGGCGCTTCGTATGTCGTACTTTTGCTTCTCGCAATTTCGTGATGTCTGCAACATCCGCGGGCTAATTGTGGTGGTGGGTGCACTGACAACCTCGTTTACAAACCATCTCTCTCCATGGCTGCAGCCTGCGAGTCAATCCTCAAAGGAGGCGGTATAACTCGTGATACGACTGGCCAGCTTCGCGATATACTTTTTGCCTTGTCCCTGCACCGAACCTTCTGAGACGGCTGTAGAAGATGAATGCACGAAGAAGAGCCGCGGCGCATGTCGTTGCCGAAAGTCTCGTGTGCGCCCAGAACTCTGACAGGCTTGGCTTACATGAGGCAGGCAGCACAACCTTTAGGCGTGTCCCGTGACACCCGCGGTTCACGTCACGGAGGTTACGAAAGACTGAGGGGATCCCGGAGGCACGTTTGCCTTGTTGGTTCGTTTCTTCTTCCGTTCCGTGTTACCAAACTTTGTTTGCTCAAGAGTCGTGATCCTCTCATTTAGCTGTTCACCATCCTTGCTCTTCGGCATGTGTTTTCCGCGCCCGTTTAATGATGTTTACCGTGATTGAGCGAGGTAAGTGAATCACAGAAACACATCCGTAGATCACGAGTCGATGTAAAACATTCAACATAAGCTTTCATTGTGCCTCATTAGGCGACCGCTGTCTAGCGGGGGTATCAACAGTTTCTATATCCATACAACCAACGCGCGCAAAAGTCTATCCCTTTTCCAAATTACTCCGTTCCTTCTCTACCAAGGCGAGAAAAGGCTCTTTTAAGCCTCCTCATCCTTCTTGTCCTGGTCGGTGACGATGCCCATCTTCTTGTTCATGAGCTCATCGGGGTCGCCGGCGCCGGCGTCCAGGACCTCGAGGTTGCCCGCGGCGTCCTTGGTGCCGGTCCTGTAGCCAGAGTGGCTGCCAAAGACGTACCAGACGTAGCAGGTGAGGATGGCGGTCGTGGCGAGGAAGGCGAAGATGGTCCAGTTGCCCATGCTGTACATGGGGGAGTCGGTGCTCGGGAAGAGGAAGGGGGCGGAGATGCCACCTGTGTTGGCGATGGCGATCATGCCGCCGGTTGCGAGAGCGGTGGCGGTGGAGCCCTGGACGGTTGCGGTGCGGTGCTATTTTGCTTATTAGTTTACTTTTTTTTTTCCCTGTTTGATGCTTCAGTAGGAGGTTGAGAACTTACAGCAACGAAGGGGAGGACGGCGGCGTTGGTGCAGGCGATGATGCACACGGCAAAGTAGCGCACACCCCAGTGCTTGACGATGGCCAGGAGGAGGTATCCCGTCGCGACGAAGATCAAGGCGCCAATGACGTGGCGAGAGCGCTCCTTGGTCCTGTCACTGTGCAGACAGTTGCCAATGATGATGAACATGGCAAAGACGTTGGGCGGGACGGTGAGCAGCTGGGCGTTGTAGCCCTTGAAGCCGAGCGAGGAGACGATGGTGGGCGCGAAGTAGCCGAAGGCGTTGAGGGAGTTGGTCATGAGGAAGTACATGATGGCGAAGAGCCAGAAGTACGGGTCGATGATGGTCTTCTTGGCGACCTTGCTGTCCCAGTGCTTGTCGGACATGGACGGGGCAAAGGGGCCGAGGCGCTTAACGGCGAAGGCGCGCTCCTCGGGGGTGAGCCAGGCGGCGGTCTGGGGGTAGTCGGGGAGCATGAACCAGACCATGACGCCGACGATGACGGCGGGGATGCCCTCGAGGATGAAGAGCCACTGCCAGCCCGTGAGGCCGCCCTTACGGTTGAGGAAGGAGATTCCCGTGGCGAGGAGACCGCCGAAGGCGCCGGCGACGGCCACGGAGGAGGCGAAGATGGCCATGCGGGTGGCGCGCTCCTCGGGCTTGTACCAGAAGCAGAGGTACATCATGATACCCGGGAAGAAGCCGGCCTCGGCGAGGCCGAGCATGATGCGGACGGCGAGGAGGCCGCCGTAGGTTGTGCAGGCGGCGGTGCAGATGGTGACGATGCCCCAGGAGACCATGATGCGGGAGATCCACTTTGAGGGGGAGAAGTACTTGAGCATGATGTTGGAGGGGAACTCCATGAGGACGTAGGGGACGAAGAAGAGGGCGACGGCGACGTTGTAGCGCTGGCCGGTGAGGTTGAGCATGGTGACGATGTTGTCTTCGGGCTTGTCGTTATTGAGGGTGCGGGCGTTGCCGAGGTTGACTCTGTCGAGGTAGTCTGTAATTCTCGTGTTAGTTGGTTGATTGCATTTCCCCTATTTCTCGTGATGTTGGAGAAACATACTCAGGAGGTAGGTGATGCAAATCCAGGGAAGGATTCTGAGATCCTGCTTGCGGACGATGCGGCGTTCCATCTCCTTGTCGGCGAGGTCGACGGTCTCGAGGCCGGGCACGTCCAGGGACGGCGCCGGGGCGAACATGGCCTTCCAGTCAGGCATCGTTGCGATTTCTGGGATGAACTGCGAGGGGGGGGGGGTTCGGTGAGGCCTCGGTGAGGGGTGTTCGATCGCGGGATTGGTGTTGAACTCTAGATTCAACGACCGCTGAGACACCGTTTGGGTGGGTTGCCCTGTGAAAGCCTGCTTTGGTGAGCGGCGAGGTGAAGGGTCGACGAAGTTGCTGATCGGCTTGTGGTTCGGACACACTCTCGAAACTTATCCGAACGAGGAGGGAAGTCGAGTTGTTATAAGTCGATGCTTAACTCCCCTGGCCTCCTAATGTCTACTGCATTTAAGTTCCCGCCCACATGGTTTGATCCACCCCGACTTCGAACCGTGGAATCCCCATACAATTCACTGCGACCCCGCGACAATCTGGTTTTAGAAACGGTATTCGTACAACTAAAATGTTGCCTTATCTCTCTCAAAAAACCCAATTGAGCGCTGTGATAGGATGGGTGCGGTGGCGTGGGAAATGTTCCGACTGCCCGTTCGGGGTCTCCAGTCTTAGTGTCGAGTCGTCGACCACACCCCCCTCCCAAAGCTAACCGTCTTGCAATAGACTGAAGTCAAATTCAATATGTAAATGCTGGCGGGGGAGATAACGTTTCATCCAATCAGATGAGAGGAAACGCCCTAGATAATGACCAAGTAAAAAAGTTCTGGCCTGTGTCAGTGTTCTACTCCGTCTTGGGCTGCTCTCGTCCGACCCGGGGGCAACCCCGGGCTCGGAAGCTAGCACCGCGTGAACCATTTCCCAGAAGACGATTAGATTCCTGCAAGCCTGCGAATAATCCATGCCTACTTCGGGTTCAGTTGGGCAATGCTCGGCGTACTGCCGTGCGTCCGGTTCTCGGGGTGGCTTGCAAAGTTTTCGAGTTGCAGAAACACGACAAAGAACAAGATGATTGACAAGGCTTAATTTGTGCGAGGAAGAGAGAGAGAGACACACACAGAGGGAGCGAGAGACTGAGACAATCACACATGCCAGCTGAAGACAGCCTGGGAACTAGAAGCCTGTCACAAATTGCCGCATTTCCGGGTACGGTCAATAGCAAATGCAGAAAACACGAGGTCTACGTACGCTTGTTAGCCTTTAACTGGAGGCTAATATTCAAGATGATACTGAACCCCATTTCTCGGATCGTCTGTCAGCCTGTCGCTTGCCAAGACTGCAGATGCAAAGACATGAGGATATTATTCAAGACTTCTCCGTGGGTCTCCGAAAGGGGGGCCGGCCTTCCACGCTTTAACGCTTGAAGGGGCGGCGGCGGCAACGGGCTCGTGCATGATGGCAAGCCCAACCCCGACTGCAACAACGATTTCCCTCTCCATTCTCCCATGAGTCCCATTCCTATCGCCGTGGACCCGAATCAGACCTGACAGCTGAGGGTTGTTCCTTGTATGCTTCACTCGTTGCGTCTCCTTTTTAGAGCTGTGCCTCTCGGGTACTCTCCTTTTTGGGAGGGTTCTCACTCAATCTCGAAATGAAGGGACGCAAAAGACATGCCCAAAAAACCTGTTCGTCTCATCTCGCTGACGTCGGGGATCTGACTCGTGTATCTACGCTGCCGCGTCGCGGCGTAATGTTGGAGGCGTTGCCTGCTGATAACGGTTCTTGTGAGTCGAGGTTGAGATGACGCTACGGCCGACGGCAACTCCAAGCGTTTGTTTGATCAAAAACGCCCTCGTGTTTGTCTGTCGTTGTCGGTGTAATTGGCTGCGTAGGATTACACGAAGCGATTTGATCAATATGGGCCCATCCACGCAAGCTCCGCCATCCGCGACCGGGGCGGAAGTCCCAAAACTCCATTCTTCGGCAGTGGCCCCCGTGGAAGGGGGAGCCGTTCACCTAACCCATAGTAGCGTGTAGTGTGACTGAAGTCTCGTCGGTGTAGTATAGGAATGGTTGCAAAATGTCGCGATAGGCAATAAGCCAGAGCTGTCTAGGCTTGTGATAGATGTTATCCGCCCGCCGGCACCTAGAGACTAGATCTATCTGACTGTCTGACATCTACACCATCAACAGTGACAGGCTGTCAGCAATAGGTCAGCTCCATGCCAAGGCTAGGCGCACATGGTCGTCTAAACCGACAGCGCGGGATGTGGCACGGTGTCTCCGCTAGTTCTCACCTAGTGCGCGGCATGTCTGTGTCTTGATCTTCGACTCCGGGAACCGGAATGACGATGGTGTGTTCCATGGGCTGAAGATGGTGTTCTGCCGCCTGCGTATGTGAAAGGTGTGCGTCGGTGGGTGGCCGAGAGAAGCGTCAACTCTATGACTGTTTTAGTGTTTGGCCGCCTGCGCGCGCCGGCGGGCAGCTTCTAAGTGGCTGCATGGCCTGGACCCGCCGCCCGGCGGGCATCAGTGGGTCCGCCCCGAGCCGATCGGCAAAGGCGCGTGGTTGTAAGGGAGTTGAGGCTTGCAGCTGAACCGTTCGAGCCGTAACACCGGAGTCTCACTTTGCAATATCTCTGCAACATTCACACGTGGAGGTTGACAACTGCTCCGTTCTGATTTGAGCGGTCTCCGGAGCTTCGGAAATCGTGTTGCAACCTCGCGAAAAAAAAGGTTCAACTAAACGAGGTGCCCGATTATTGACCAGCTTTTTCTCCGACATCATCCGAGCTTTTGAGGAAGTCGATGGATCGATAGTCTCGATGTCCATGTCCGAAACCGATTAGGGCATTGGCAGCATTTATTTTCATGCTCAGTCACTTTCGCTTGCTGTGCCAGAGTCTCTTGAGGAAAAGGCCAACTGTGTGGAGGGGGTTTGGGGGGTTTGTGGACAAACCCTCTCTCCCTTTCTCCCTTCCATCTCTGCATCTTCTCTTTCTCCTTTTTTCTTCGGAACACAAAGTTGAAGCGACTTGGGAAATCAAATGGAAACTTTTGTTTTTCGTCATGAAGATGTTCCTTGATACTACCGAAAGGCAGCTTATACAAGCAAGTTCGAGCATTCAGTGATGCCCATCAGAAGTCCGGAATATTTGTATACTAGGGAAGTGACTTTGAGTCTTTACCGGGTACTGACTGGGGCTTCAGCAGCAGAAGAGAGGGCTTGCTGGTTCCGACTTCGACAGCGTACTTACTTCTTTGCGTAGAGGAGTTCATGGAGAACAAGTCCAGTTCCCAAGTCATTGTTGCGGCGAACACTGGTTGCTAAACTCCTTTCGCGCCAATCATGGCTTGAATGGGTCCAACACTGGATCATTATTTGGATGTAAGTCGAGAATTTGCAATTCAAGACCTGGTGTGGCGATTAGAGACCTAATATTTTCCAAGAGCAGCAACACACCGGGTCGAGACACCATCGGAACCCATTTCTCCTCGACAAACGAACGCCAGCAACCGCGCTCGCGCTGCAGCTTCAAGCTTCTCTGTGTCAGAGTTATAGAAAGTCGGGAAACACCCGAGAGGGCTGTGGGCCACATCTCCTGAAGTAAATTCGAGCGGCAAAATGTTGCTCTGACTCTAAGCAAGTTGACTATGAGAGTTACCTGAAGCCAATCGCACCCTCGTTGCCGTTTTTCTCTGCAAAGCTACACAATTGGCCACTGCCATGTGTGAAGAAGTTAACCCAATGGGCTAGGGTCATTGGCGCTGTGGCTGCCTTGGCGCCCACCCTCAGGCTGGCTTTATCTCTATGCTGCCTATCAACCCCAGCTTTATGCATGAACTATCGCCTATCAAAATGACCAGCTTCAATCCTGCAGTGCAGTAAACCGAGACGAAGTTCAGCCGTATGGGTTGACCCCGCGCGCGAACAAGTATGGGCCTGACTATGGACGAAATGGCGCGTCACCCACAGCATGCTGGCAGCCTCATCTTCAAAGACAACAAGTGTACAACTGTCTTCATCCCAGGTCTGTCGTACAGATTTCTTGCTATAAGCATAGTTTACCAGAATGTTATGTCAAATTTGCGTTGGGGCGTTCCAACACCGGAAGGGCTGGGTTCGCGATACCGACGAGGGTTCCGAGCCCACCATCTTGCTTGCCCATCACGAATCGGTCGCGAGCCTTGAAGCATCAGCCCTCGACGCTTGCGAAATATGTCGTCCGTTCTGGCTCCAGATCAGCGAGGAAGACCAGACTAGACTGAGAGAGTTCGACGCCGTTTGGACCTTACGCCCTGGGGCAGGCGGTGCAAAGTCCAAGACACCTGGGCAACGGTTGGACGAGTTTGATGGTCTAGTGACTATGGGCGCAGTTGTCCTTCTCGAAGAACCGAGTCTAAAAGCTATTGGGTCTGACTTGATGTTATCCATTTCATTCGAGTCGGGATTCACGGATGAAATTCATTTTGATCAAAAGAATATATCCGGTACATACGTGGTACAGAGAGGTGATTGTGAGTGACACTGCCGGTTTGATGAGCCGTCAGCTTTTTCTAATGTGATCGGCCACCAGACAAGGACGCCGGAAAGATGGTACCGTTCTCCAGTAGCAACACGGACTCCGAGGAAGCGTGGGCTAAAGCAAATTCATGGATGCAAGCCTGTTTGTCTACTCACACGGCTTGTAACGTTGAACTGAAAGCGGATCCGTGGTATCCAACTCGATTGCTCGACCTCGAGGCTGATTGCGGGGGCATAGATGTTGCCCGTCTGGTGATCACAGCAGAACACTCGCCTTCGCACAATGATCGTTATGCAACCCTGAGTCATTGTTGGGGTTCAGCCCAGTTTCTGCAACTGAAGAAAGCCACGTGCGACGATTTCAAAAGAGGCATCGAGCTCTCCAAGCTTCCAAAGACATTCCGTGAAGCTGTGCAAGTCACTCGACGACTAGGCGTGCGGTATCTCTGGATTGACTCGCTATGCATATTCCAGGATCGAGACGATCTCTCCGACTGGCTGGTTGAAGCGGGTTTGATGCACAAAGTGTATTCAAACTCATTCTGCAACATCTCTGCAGCGGGAGCACGCGATAGTTCCAAGGGCCTTTTCTTCGAGCGGGATCCGAGAGTGAGCTTGACTACCGACATGTGCCTCAACGCGGAGGGGTTTGGGCTGGAAACGGAATACGTGGACTGCAGCATTGTCGACATGTCATTCTGGGGCCATGCCGTCGGGCAGTGTCATCTTAATAAGCGCGGCTGGGTTCTACAAGAGCGCCTGCTTTCACCACGTGTTCTTCACTTCGGCCGCGATCAACTCTTCTGGGAATGTAGAGAGCAAGTGGCGGCCGAGTGTTATCCAGAGAAGATGCCAGAAATCTTGGCAAACAGCGTTCCGACAAAGTTCAAGAGACTCAGTAAAGGAGCCTACGGCCCCGATGCAATGTCGCGAGAGAGAGAGCCTGACGACCCCACGTTCTACCACCGGATTTGGGATTTAATCGTGAGAGCGTACGGAAGCACCCGCTTGACTATGGCCTCTGACAAGTTGTTGGCCCTTTCAGGTATAGCTCAGCATTTCGAAACTCTCGTTGACGACACCTATGTCGTTGGGATGTGGCGGAAGCATTTAGCCAGCAATCTGCTATGGCACGTTGATAAGGAGACGCAGGTTGACGGCTCCCCATCTGTCCGACCCGATGCGTACAGAGCCCCATCATTCTCTTGGGCCTCAGTCGATGGCAAGATCTTGACGGGACCTCTAGTTGATCAGTCGAATCTACTCATAGACGTGGATGACGTCCAAATCGAGTACGTGTCGTCAAACAAAACGGGTCTGGTGAAAGGAGGCCATGTCGACCTGAGATGCTGCGTGCTACCTTTCAAGATATTTGTGGAATCCATCGGCCAACGCCAATTCCTTTTTCTGAAAGTCAACGGTGCCATTGTTATGGCTTCGAGAAAAGATGCGCAACGCGACACTGGACCCCTGATACATATGGATGTTGGTCAGAGAAGCTTCAACGACGAGAACGCCGCCGGATCGCTATACTACGTTGTCGCGCAAAAGCAGGACGAACTCGATGGCTTCGTAAGGTGTATTTTGCTGATGGCCGTTGATGAGGGGAGAAAAGTATTCAAGAGGATTGGGCTTGCAGTGACCAGCGAGGTAGAAGAGATTGAGATGCTGCAGAATGCAGCAAATGTCGCCGATGGAGATGTATCGAGCAATGGTGGCCTTCATGGAGTTAGAACCATCCGAATTATCTGAATTTGAGAAGAGACAAAATCTAGAAAATCAGCTGGCTGACAAAAGACAAGCGCGATCATAGTATTATGGCACCAGCCAGACTCTCAACCGGACCTTGGAAAATACAGTTCAAGACCTCAGACAACTTCAAACAGTAGAAGATTCAAGATTTTCAAGCAGCTCTATTGCCTTGAACCGGGACCACCTGCCAAGTATGTTCCGTGAATACCAGTGTTCCCTTCTGCTGTAGTGCGTACGGGTCCACGTAGACATTGAAGTCAATGTCCAAGGTAGTAAGGTTGAAGACTCGAAGTAGCATGTAAACTGTGTAAGATCCTCCCGGGGACGTTGACGCATCTGTGTAAGACCTCATCTATGCGTTTCCATTGAACGTTGGTCAGCCAAATTGATCAATGCACCCATTGCGAGAGGTTTCAGAGCCCTACCCTATTATACTGATACTTGCTCACAAAGAACGGCCTTGCAGCATCTCCGGGCGTGGTCTTGACTTCGATGAAGTATTGCGGTTTCTTGTCGACCCACTTGGTTGGCTCCAAATACCCTCTTTCGATAAGAATTTTAGTTAAAACTCCAAACTTGTCATTGTAGACAATGTCGGCAGTCTCTTGGCCTTCCCAATGAGTCACGTAGGAATACTCGGGATGGACTGCCACATGTTTTCGCATCGTACTTTGCCAAGCGTCCATGCCAAATTCGGGGAGTGAGGGACTGAGATGCGAGAGCAGTTCATAAACCTAAACGAAGCTCATTAGTAAAGAGTCTTGAGTAGTCATCGAGGACCGGATGAAAGAAAGTGATCTTCTCTTATGCTCGCTGTACTCACAAAGAGCTCGCCGGCGGCGCCAATCTTCTTGTCACTTCCTGGAGGTATCCATGGATTGGAAGTAGGGGTCGAGGCACATTCTGCTGACTGTCCTGTTCTTGTGGAACCAAATTCAGGAAACGATCTTCGCCGCGCAGCAAAGATGACATTGTTGAGTATTCTCAGATACTCCGTGCTGAACGCATCATATCTTGGCGAGGTCGTAGCAGCGGGTGCCGTGGACGTTTGCCCAAAATGAAAGATATGTGATGGTGGGGTTATGGCGGCTACACCAACAGGTGAATTCGGCTGCAAGCGATAACTTCTATTGTTGTCAGGTGAAGCGGGAGTGCTTGACTGCTGCGTAAACATAGGATGAGTAGCAGCAAACCCGGAAACAGAACGTGGGCCCGTCAAAGAGAAGGGTCTAATGGGCATCTCAACCGCGAAACCGTCCTGTTGAGGGTCTTCCGCAGGTGGCGGCGAGACGTCAGGAATTCTTGGGAACTCCTGGCCTTGTTCAACCTCAGTTCTACCACCCAAGTCAATTATCCCTTCTGCTTCTAGAATGTGAGACACGCTTTGAATTGGTGCGTTGAGAGCTGAGCTCATCGCACTGATGGCTCGATGTGGTATCGCACCGCAAAGTTGTGTCTCCGGTTCTGTCATCACCCACTCCAGGAGACGCCTTGGAAGACTCGAGTGATAACAGAAATCCTGTCTCTCTTTGTTCAGGGGGACGTATATCTGTAGTCGACCGGCCGTCTCTCGGATGTGAAGCTCACTTGATGGCTTGACGTGGATGTGTGCTTTGCCATCCTGGACAAGGTGAACCTCGGATGAGATTCCATGCGTTTCGAATACTTCGGCGGCACGGAGTGTGTGGTATAGACCAACGACATCGTCCACACGAGGACTGTCGAAATGAGATGCAACCCTAGCGTTGAAGTCAGGTTAGTAAAACATTTGAAGGACCACCTGAATGAGATTTCAGGTGAGGTTTTTAGTAATTATATACCTGCAGATCCCACTTGCTCTCCTCTTGATATCTCGATCCGGACGTTGTACTCTAACCTGCAAGTCGCTTGTAACAGTGGAGATTTCCTTGACGGAAGAGGAGAGGTATCGGGAGTCCAACCTCAGCCAAGAGAGAAGGTTGCTGAGCTTATGAATCTCATCGAGAGAAAAGTCCAGAAACTTGACTTTAGAAGTAAACATCTCGGATAAGGGTTTGCGGTCCCTGATAACGAACTGTGTGCGAGAAGTCTCGAGACGAACCTGCCCATTTGGGTATTGGACGGGAAATACGGCACTTTCCAGTAACTGCTCTGGGTCAGGGTACGACGTTGCACTCTGAACAAGTGTGTTGACCGCCCATATTGTCTCTTTAATTTCGGCGATGGTGGCAATTGGTTGCTTGTTTCCCTTTTTCAGAAGCTCATCGCACGCCATCGCAAGAGTTAGTCTTTGTACTCCGAGTGTTTCGACGAAGAACTCCTCCATGTCTTCGTAGATGGAGCTGAGAGTCGTTCGTCCCTGAATTCTAGCCCCGCTTGACCATAGGCACTGGGCTGTTGTGCACCACCCGGAAGTCTCGCCACCCGGAACGAATATGAGAGGGGTTGTACTGAAAAGGGCCCTAGAATTGAGAGCGTCAGGCACGTTTCGTTGGAAACGAGCTATGAAACATACCTGAAGTCCTTCAATTGACTTTGCGACATATCACAGTTGTGAAGAAAGTCGTAAATTTCCACAACCCAGTCGAAATCATTGCAGCCTACACTCCTCATGTGCTCGAGCTCCCGTATGCAGCAGCTTCCATCCCAATCTCCTATGCCCAGGGTCACCTTCATAAACCTTTCCAGAGAATGCGCTAAATCTTCGGAGCAACCACTCATGATTTGTCCCTCAAGAGCAGTGTAAGCATACGGGACACCTGGGGCTGCCCAGACACAGGTATCTGGCCTTCTCCAGGTCAGTGTGCCGTCCTCAGCTGCAGTGGATCTGAGAGCAGCCCTTCTTCGTTCTTCTTGATTGTTGTATATGGGAACTAGGATGCAATGTCTCTTGCGGCAGAAGTTTCTATGTCTTATTAGATACTTGTTGCTTAACAATTGCTTTGGATATTGGGGGCGGGGCCAGACTCCTTACTTCACAATAATGGCGACTTGATCTTTGGATGCAGACTCCTCAAGCCGAAGTTGTATCATTTCATAGAGACACAGAATCTTGCTGTAGCTTTCTTGTTGTGGCTGACCTTCAGTGATCTTTTCAAGAATCGACAAATACAAGTTCACGTCATCTCGAGATCGGACGCCAAGCTTGTTCACTAAGAAGCCCCATTTTGAATGAAATGAAGCAGAATGAGCGGCTTCATCGATTTGGAGGAAGCTAATTGTCAAATCTCCAAGGTATGAAGAAACAATAGCCTGAAGCTCTAACAGTGGCAAAGTTGTCTCTGCTAGTGGGTAGTCCCTGCCGTCCTTGCAGGTGATGTTGAGGGCTCGAAGGTTGCAAAGGAACTTTGGGGTACTCGAGTCATCATGATTCAGCAGTATCCAATGGTATTGCAGCGCTTCGATGAAGCACTCGGGACGAAAAATGCGGACGTAGTCGAGCTCGGGAGAAAGACTTTCCGGAGACGTAGAAGAGGTTAGTCTCAAACGACGGCGTACTCGCAGGACACGCTCAAGCCACTCAGACCATGTCTGCTCCAACCCCGCCGGTGTCTCTGGAGGACATTCAAAATACTGATTGTGTAGAAATGACACAAAGCACCCGTCTGGATGATTTGCTCTAGGCTGCAAAAGACTGCGAGGCTCGTAGGGACCGTTTGTTGCAAGGTAAACATCTTGACGATGAGGTAGTTGAACCTCCATTGTGTGATCAAAGACAAAGAGATTGGCGATTGCGGTTGAGCTCTCTCCGCAATGAGAAGTGTCGTGATGAGAGGAATATAAAAACTTCAAATTGCTGACAGATGCCAGCAGAGTTGCGTCGGTCTTCAGGTTCGGAATTGGAGCTTCAAATATTAGTTGTTGAATCTCTTCAACCGTTGCTGTTTGAACACCAAGCAGTTCAAAGAGCTTGTATCGATCGCCGACAGCAGATGCCTCTGGACTAACGAGAGACAAAGGAAGGTTTGTGGGGATTTCGAGACCATTCCCGCTGTAGGGGAAGTAAATGGGTCGCCTGTTGCGATTAATCGAGGTCCAACTGCCATCTCTCAGAGGTATGATGTCCAAAGTCCGAATCCTCGCCAAGCTTTGCGGGGACGCCGTAGCCACGAGTCTCTGAATCATACCGGCAGCTTGTGAATGCCATTGAGGACTGGTGGATGAATTCTTCATTCTTGACGTATCGATCGGTTGGCCAAGGTCATGTTCAATCCGAGCTAGTCTGTCGTCTGCAGACAGCCATTTCAGACCGTACGGCTCTAGCAAGCTTAAATCCTTGACCTGGTATTCTTCGGCAACATACATCTCAGTATCGAGGTCGTCAAATAATGGAGACCCAATTTCGTCGAGCCAATTGGACTGTAGCCGACGTAATGAGTGGATGTCGCCCAGGCGGCCGCTCCTCCTTGTGCGAAGAGTCTTACTCGTCTTGATACGGTTCTTAATGTCCTCAAGCAAGCCGTTCCAGAAGTTATCCCAAGGGTATGAATGTCTCTGTGGAAGCCACCTCATCCATTGGAATTGCAGTGTGGGATGTTGGCACATCTCATCCACGGCTTTGATGAAACACGTCGCGATGCCATCTCTGATTGCCAAGTTACGTGCAGACGAAATCACGATTCCCTCGCGAGACGAGTTGGTGACGAAATCAGCTTGGATGATGAACTGCATGTGAATCAGTGCAGGCCTAAAACGATGCTGTGGATGCCAAATGCTGTGCTACATTTGCTAACTCACCTTGAAGCCCAAGGGCATCATTGGCAGGAACGCGAAAACTGGCTGATTCTCAACAATTGGAGTGTGGTCATCAGCAAGGGGGAAGACCAAGATAATTTCAGTCTCAGCATCCGCACGACCATGGCCTTCGGAAAACTCCCGGTTCTCGTTCGGGGGAACATCTCGAATCACTTGTCTTGCGACATGATGCTTTCTCTGAAAAGTCTCTCCGGAAGAAGACTCCTGGTCGAATAGCCATACTATGTCTATGAGAGTGCTCGGACTTGAGGTTGAGAAGGAATACTCCACTCGTTTTGTTTTCTTGTCATCGTCGTCGTGAAACTGGATTTCGATGCGTCGTAGATTTCTTAGAAAAAGCAAAACTGTGATTGGAAGGTTTTCGAACTCTCTGTTAATTTCCTCTCTCTGCCGCTTCGCCTCTGAGAGGGACGCGTCATCGTACTGATGAAGATGAAGTGTGATGGAACTTGGGGCTAGTTCATTTTGCGGAATGAAGTCTGGCTCCCAGATAGGGGTTACCATCCCCAATCCGCTGTCGCCCTTCCGATGGGTGAAGCTGAAGGAAAAGTCTTTCGAGAGGATGTTGACTTTGTACGCGGCCACGAAGACGGATTTGAAGCCGATACCTTTTTCTCCGATGTAACCATGACTGCGATTCTTTGAGCTCTGCCCAATTGCACAGATGGCTTTGAGATCATGATGGGTGAATCCATCCTCGTTGCACTTAATTTCGATTCGGTCTCGGTACACGCTGAACTTTACATAAGGCTCAACACCGCGACACTTTGCTGCAACGAACTTATTGTCATCGGCATTCTGGAGAAGTTCGAAGACAAAGCGGGCATGACTGGTGTTGAGGTTCTTCGCCAAGCTTGAGTCATGATTAGCAGCTGTCGAAGATGCAACGGAGCAGACTTAGTTGATGAGCGGTAGTAGCATACGTCAAAATCGAGGAACCGATCAGTTCATCTTTCTGTAATAGAGCCTTTTCTACGACTGACCGAATGCGTTGGTTCATTGCTCCAATTTCCGTCAAGTCGCTCTCAGAAATGATGCCATGCTCCTCGGCAATTCCTTCCACGAGTTCCCTAGCGGTAGGTTGGTGGGCAGTACGCCCTGGCGCTGCTGCCATGTCGTACGTTAGTGTTCGCATTCACGAAATCGACCGCAGAGTCTCAATCGTCGTCATTAAAACCCGAAAGACTTTCGGTTTTAGTCTCCAAGAAAATGCTCTCCAGGGATTAAAAGTGAAATGCGAGTCGAGAGATGTTTGATTCAAGTCTTTTCCCCGCCTAGATCTCTTGCCGCGGACTTGACGCCACCAAGTCATTTTGGACCAACCACAAGCAACACCAGAAAACAACATTGACATAAACCTAATAACTCGCATGCGCCCAGACTGCGGCTGACTTCGTTTTCACCAATGCGGCAATACATTCATAGGAACAAGTCAAGTGATTCATCAGGCTCCCACTCAATACCTGCAGAGTCAGATCACTCATGCGTCCCACAACAACGCCTGAGAATTCGGTTCTGCGCGGAAAATTCCCGTTGATGAGGACCTCGATCGGTCCGGACGTAACGTTTTGGGGTTATATACAAACGAGGCATTAAAGCATCAATAGCATCCCAGAGAAGAAATGGAGACTGAGATGGACGAATGCAATTCGATTTCTTTTATGTACCCGCAGTCACCGACTGCAAAGTTTGTACTAGATATATGAATACACGAAATGAAACAGGTACACTCCGGATGAGTCTTGAAGAAGGGTCGCCTCTAGCCTCCCCCTCCCTCCCTCAACCTCCCTGCCGTGGTAGTGGACTGGAGAGTCATCTGGCTATCACGGCAACTCAAAAGCCAGAGATGTTCTCAGTGGTTGCGTTGCCCGAAGTTTTACTGCCTAGAGAACACTGTCACTTAGCAGTCGGCCTTGGCGCCAACATCGGACGAAGCGGAGCTGGCTCCAGCGACGGTAACGGACTTATCGCCAGAAGATCCGTTGGCGCTGCCGCGGGTGGTGCCGCCAGGGATAACATCGGGGCCAGGGATGGTGTTGTAGGAGGTTGAGCTGCCCCAAAGACTGAAGTTGACGGCCGCGTCAGCTTGCTTGTAGACGCCGGGAATCTTGACACCAGTGCCAGGCATGGTCGTAGCAGTGTTTCCAGTAACCTCGAGCTGGGCGCAGGCATAGTAGAATTCAGCCTCGCCGTTGTGAGCGCCGTGAAGACCAATATGCTCGCCACGGACGAGGTACTGGCCGTTGGGGATGGTAGAAGGGACTGTGAAGTGGACATTGTCCTCGCCGTAGCTGCACCATGCGCCAGTACGGAGAGACTCGGCGTTTCCGGCCTTGCAGAGTAGGGACTGAGAGACCTTGTACCAGGTGCCGGTGCCCTTATCGGAGGCGGCATTGCTGACCGGGCTCATGTAGACTTGGGTGGGGCCGGGGTGAAGCATGCCGGTGCCACCGAAGGCCTGCTTAAGGCCAACCTTGTCGCCGGCCTTGACGGAGAAGACCTTGGCGGCCGCAGTGGCGCCCTTGTTGCAGGAGAAGTCGGCATCAGTCGGCGAGATAGAGCCGGAGGGAACATTCTTGAATTTGGTGGGCATGTAGCTGTTCTGGTGCTTGCGGATATAGGTGTTGTCACCACCCTGTTGAACACCGTTGACAAGGAGCTTGTCAAATGTGTAGTGAGCAGAGGTCGAGGAGACGAAGCCGAGGACGGCGGAGAGAACGATAGTGGCCTTCATATTTGCGATTGGAGATACGTTGAAAAGAATGGAGTGACTTCAAGTCAGGTAAAGAGTGAATGATAAAGAGTGAGGAAGAAGAAGGATGATAGAACAGATCGCGGTGGTGTGCTGAGCTGAAATTAGAAGTCTGTAGATGCGGTCAACACATGCTTTATATAAACTCAAGGACAAATGCGTAAGCAGAACACACGTACAAGTCAATCAAATTCTGATTTACGGACTTAAACCTAGACATGATTGTGGAACTTACCAAGGGGATGTATGCGCCCACTTCGAGCCAAGAATTCGGTCTAGATTACCAACAGAAAGTGGCAAGCGCCAGAGCTCGGATGCAATCCCTGCTTTGGACGAAAGCCCTGGTAAAATCCTCCGAACACGCTACTGTAAGCATAAACGACCTGCTCGGGATTGGTTTTGTGGAGAATGGGAGGGAAACCCCTGAACGCCAATGTGACCTTCAACACGGGTTGGCTGGAGATTGCTGTTGTTGTTGTTGTTGTTGTATTTAACGCCGTGGCGGCCGGGCTAGAGCCCTTACCGCAGACCTCCCGAAGGGTATATGGCGTGGAGGGCCGTGAGCCAAGGCTACCTACTCTACAGTACGTCGTCTCTTTACATCGTCCTCCAAATCATGCCTTGTGGCCACTACGCGTTCTGTCTGTCCCCGGTTCCCGCTGGTGCCCCAGTTTCATTCTTTCCCAAATCGTCCCTTGGAATCGGGAGGTTCTTTGTAGTCCGCACTCACATCTACCTAGGTGTGGATGCTGCTACCGCAGACAGATCTTCTGGAAGAAGTCCGTCACGCGGAGAAAGGCCTCGAAGCCTCGTGGGTCGGTGATTAATCTCTTGAAGTAGGCCTCGAGAGATCCCATAGGACCTATGGGCTCGGGCATACTGCGAGAGTGGAGGGTCGGCCACCGTTGCCTCCTCGCCAGCGTTAGTCGACAGTAGACCAGGTGGTCCACGTCTTTCGCCTCTCCACAAGAGCACATCATTAGAGCGTCGTCGTGGTTGAAACGTCGGTGATATTGCTCGAAGTCCCCGTGACCCGATCGTGCCGCCAGCAGGTGATGTAACGTAGCCCGCGGCAAGGCCAGTTCAGGAGGGCTGGACAGAGCTGCCTCAAGCCCCAAGTCCGCGTACCGCGGCCTTCGCTCTTTATACCACCATCTCCTGTGCTGGCTTTGTAATTTTTCCCTTGCAAGCCGCTTGATGCCCGCTAGTGTTGCCATTTGACCCATCCGCGCCGGCAGTGTCGTTCCTTCTTTGGCCAGCCGGTCCGCGGCCTCGTTTCCTTCGATGCCCTGGTGTCCCGGGGACCAGTGCGTCCGTATATCAAATATCCTGGCCGCTTCTTGGATTTCGAGGAACGCGTCTTGTGACGAGTCCGGCGCCTTGCCGCGGATGCCTTGTATAACGCTGGTGTTGTCGATACATATGTGGATTGGATGACCGCGATTGGTGAGCAGAGCCCTTCTGAGGCCGGTTCGCGCCCCTTCGACCTCGGCGTCGAACACTTCTGCTAGTCCGAGTCGGCCGCACCCTTGCGCTATGCGTTTGGAGTCTCGGTAGATGACGAAGCCGTACCCCACGGCTCCGTTCGTCGCCCTGGAGCCGTCCGAGAAGACGATCATATGGCTTTCCGGTACTGTCTTTAGCCAGCGCTCGAAAGCTTTCGCAGCCTCTTCTTTGCATTGAACTACTATCTGATCCTGTGAGCTTGGCAGGTACTGTGATTGGAGGAACGTTGGTCTTCCGCATCTTGGCAGAAGTTCAGCCGTCCGTTGTAGTCTCGTCTGTTGCTGTCCCTGCTGGGAGAGCCGCGCGACTAGCGGGTGTCGGCGATCAATCCTCTGTAGTCGGACTGCGGCCCGTAAACGGACGCCTTCTAAGGCGACTTTGGCTGACGGTAAGCCGGCGTCTCGGAGGAGGCTACTGGTTGGCGTTGTCCTCCAGACAGGTAGAACGATCCTTGCTGCCGCTGTAATGACGCTGTCGATCTTCTGCACGAGCCCCTTCTGGCCTGTGTTGACGGGTCTTCCTTGGAAAGGCGGACTCGTGTCTGTCTCCGCTTGGCGTCTCGAAGCCGGCTTCGTGATACCTGCGTACCATGTTTCGGCGCCGAAGAGCGCGATCGGCAGTACGTAGGAGACGACGGCTTTTCGCACGGCGGCCGCTGGCAGTCCTCTCTTTGTGTTTGTAAGCTGCCTCAGGTGTTAGCTGCCTCAGGTGTGCTGCCTTC